ATAATAATAATTAATAATAATAATAATGGACAACTTACTAGCATGAACGTTATTTGCTTTTATAATTTAAACCAAAACTAATACCAGTATTAACATTTCTACAATATTAATTGCTTTTAATATTTCTAAACACAAAATACTTACTACCTATACGTCAAGTTATTAACCAACGGCTATTAACACGCATCACTTTATTATTATTATTGTAATCTCATTTTTATAGCTCAAATATTCTCCACCTAAATTTTCATTTTAAGCGTGTTAAGTATGAAGGCAGATATTTTAAAATCATTACATGTGTTTCCCGACCAGATGCTTCCACCTTTCCTTTTTGATTTATCTTTCAGCTTATCATTACCCGGGGGATTCTTCCTAGTCTTGGTAACCTTCGGCACACTACAGTCCCATCCAATTTGGTATCGAACCAACACTACGTTGATTCTGGTGGGAGAGTAGTGTAGTGGCATTGGACCATAACCACACTATATTCAAAGCTGAATACGAGATTACTCGGAAAATAGGTATTCAATATTTAACGCGAAGAATTACCTGACGATGGAGAAGGCGCGAATAATGAATTGAATAGACTAGAGTTGATCGAACGGCATGGCTCGGCCATGCAGGCGTGGTCTCTGCGGAATGTTACCTTATATCTTCTATTCATATTAAATATATTGTTCTTTCTCTAGCCTAACCTTGTTCTACATCATGTATTGGTAATTGATACGATACAGTGAGTTGGTGTAGTCGATGGTGTGACTTCGACGTAAGATCTTATAGATTAGGCAGTCATATCATGATAAATCTACAGATTTAGGATTAGGTCTATTATTAGAGCAGTACTAATATCATAGTAGACCATAAATTCTACAGTTATACACAACTGCATTGAAGGAGGACCACACTTTCTTCGTCACCTCTTTAGCCACAAACTCTAAAATGCACTCAGCTTTAGTGAGTTGCTCAGGATTTCTGTCTGTGTCAAGTCCCCATTTATGAGTGAGGGGTGCTAGTTGCTCAAGTTTGCCGTTAATTTCGGATAGAGAGTTTTGTAGCTGTCGGATGTCATTACTATATCTATCAGTATTTCGGTGTGTATGAGGAGGACCATGATACTCTTTATTTTTTGAAATTTTAGATTTAGGCCTTGGTAGCACATACTGTCTAGCAGACTGTGCTGACTTTTCGATGCACGTAGGTATAGTGTCTTGTATGTCAACCAGTCTTACCGTTGGCATACTGCACATAGAGATAAAGAAGCTGCGACATGGACAATCTGGTGATGATAGAGACATTTGTGTACAATACACATATTTTTCAGTAGTTAAAAGTTCGACATTGTGAAGCACTGAGTCGTCAGTTGTAGGGGTTACAGATTTGGACCTTTTGTTTGGCTTAGAAGTTGGTGAAATTCCTCTTTTACTGGAGTTATTGGACATGATATGAAAATAAGTGAGCACAGTGCTCGTTAAATTAAATATAATAATAATAGTAATAATAATAATAATTTATTCTCAAATATAATATCTGAGTATCAGTTGTTATTAAGTATTAACCTGGTTAATACTAGGATTAGAGGCTGTGAGTACATAATAAATTGCAGATCTATTTACGACTTAAGTCCGCGATAGGTACAATACGAACTGGTAATTGTCCGTCGAATAAAAATAAGTTTTTACCTTATTTTTCGGGGTAAGATCTATCCGATGTACAGGATAGGATGATAATCACAGTATAATACACCCTACAAAAGAGCAAGTCGAAGAATTCCTAAACCACGTGAAAAAATGTTACCACTTTCAAACTTAACGAAACGTAGACCTAGTAAGCCACCTGGAATTCGTCACCACACATCAACTTCCTTGACTATAAGAAAGAGTTAGACTGTGTGGATAGGTGAACTTTATGGAATCGTCTTCTTCATTGTGGTTTGCCTGGGAGAATCGTGAACATCATACAATATTCATACGACGGACCACACTGCAAAGTGGTACATGGAGGACGGCTTACAGGTGCATTCCAAGTGAGGATCGGAGTCGGATAAGATTTCCTGCTTTTACACATTATCTTTTTCTTCTGATGGTCGACTGGATTATGAAGACCTTCACATCTCAGAGGAAGCTTGAAATATAATGTATAGCTTGGATGAAGCTGGACGATTCGGACTTCACAGATATCCTAACTACCTAATACCATGCACACAATCAAATGCAGATGAAGACAACTAGTGTAGCAGCAGCCTCTACATCACTAGGTCCCACTACGCACATTGAAAAAAGCAAGATTATCAAATATAAAATGGAGAACACCATCTCAAATACACTTGATTGAGAAACTCTGGAAGATGCGGAATTATTCACGTACCTCGGAAGCATCATCGATGAACAAGTGGGATCCGATGCAGGCGTAAATGCGAGGATTGACCGAATAACATCGAAAACAGCCTAAGGTTGGAGATAATAAACCAGTTACCAGCTGATAAATGAATTACGAAATGAGTTTGGAACTGGAGAGGACATATATTTCAAAAATCACCAAACTGCATCACGACGCAATCTCCTACTTGCAAACCTGAAGGGAAACGAAAAAGTGGGAATCCAAAGAACACACTGCGTCGGAAGTTGTAAGCAGACATTATAAAGGACGAATAGCAACTGGAAACGACTGGAAAGGATTGTCGAAGATAGAGTTGAGTGGAGTATGCCTTTTGGCAGCCTATGCTCCTTCATGAGAAATAACAGGCGTAGGTAAGTAACATGTGTGGGGAAGTGAATGATTCATCCATAGATATTTAAGCGGCTAACACTTAGGATAGAATGAGGAATATTTGGCGATCGAAATCCCAAAAATAATCCTGGCGAGTTTTACTATTTATCTGCATAATTGATTTTTATCCTCAACTTGCATATATTTTCACTTAGACCAGCCGTATATATTTCACACAAGCCACTCTCATAACGTTTTTGGTATAATATATATTTAATAGCTTTATAAGACAATATACCGCTATGAAAAGCTGTGTTGCTTACAGTCGTAGCATATTAGATTAAAAAATTATTTGACATTTCTTAACTTTATTTGTCTTTCGCACTTGTTTATAAATGTCACCAAGTTAACCACAGTAACTTATTCTGAAAGGTCTGTATTATAACTCGTCATATTCATAACTGTCGTTTCATAAGTTGACTCAAATTTTGAATTTTTTGGCCAACTTGTTTTTAAATTGTTATATTTCTCACCAACGTATGTTACATGCGTTACATTACATCTTTGTACCATTGGAATATATCAATCATTTGAACCGCCTTTAACATTTTTCACTGAACCCATCATAGTCGTCATCGTAATACGTATTTGGGTTTTATGAATTGGGTTATGATGTTAGTTGCTTAAATAGATGTTAAGCATAGTTCAGATACCTAATTTAGGTACTATCGTGCTACACTGATATAATGACTAAACTATCACGTAGTTGTTTGTCAAACAAGCATTCAAAATAAACTCCAGAGCCTGCTACTGAAATGAAAACTAATGAGAAAATTATTTCTGGACCGCGATTCGGAGTATAATCAGGCAGCTCGGATCCGTCACTGCTACCATATTCTAATATTTTCGAATCATGTGAAACAAGACTTATTTTCTATTAGCTAATTTTAAATCAACACTACAAATAGCTATGGTTTCTGGATCTCAACACAAAGTATTGTCATGACTTGACAATTACATAATATGACTGATAAAATTAATAAAGTTATCAATACAAATTAGGTCAAAAACTGATATAATAATCAATAAATGGTGTTGTTTTCTCGTGGATATCATCCATTACAGATGGTTTCGGTATGTTCCTCTAACACTTGCTCATTTACTAAACATCTTAGAACCTTGTTAGTTTAATTGTAGGTATAGCATCACAATCATGTGCGCAAATTATCAGTATAAGCAGTTAAAGAAATCCCCTGAAAAATGAAAACATTTGTCGAATTTACCTCAACACTGGCAGGGTAATACCATTGTCATAGACATGAGTTGTACTCCTTTGGTTACAACTTACGTCCTCCATGGTAATCACATTAGCATCATTCACTGTTTATTATCTTGTAAACAATCTTTTGGTCAGAATTGTCGTGCAATTCCATATCACCCACATTTGTGGCATATAGGCCCTGTGCATATCAACACTTTATAGTAACTCTATTTCAAATAAGATCACTTCTACTTTACTCAAATACAGTACTTGCAACTAAATTGTATGCACCAACGTTCGGTAAGTACATATATAAATAATTGGCTTACTGCACATCAAACCACTGAATCTAGAGCATGTTTCTCACGAATGTATATATGCTTAACGAATTGCTCATAGCTATCTGTCCAAAATGCACACTGTTTTCACGTAACTGAAGTTTTGGAAAATATCTACTCAATCACTACTTCTAACATATCATCAATCAGATGAGCCAAAATGTGAAATTTCTCCATAACCATGTTATCATGTTGCAGGCTATCTATAATTCTGTTTTAAAATAAAGGTTCAAATCACCAGTGAAATGTACATTTGATAATTTTGTAACGACAAAAATAATGACCACATTTTTTCTTTGTTTGTGACGCTTCATGTGTAATCACACTTATATTGAATTTCTATTGTATATCTGTATCAATAGTAAAGCAGTCGTTAGTTAGTTGTCTGTTTAATACACACATGCTTCTGTAGGTATTCGAACTAATTGTACCTTCGTTGTCCGTCCTTCTGATTTATTGGCTTCGGCCTGAGTTTGGAGATTGTAAAAGTGTTTTAAAATCTTTTTAGGCTGCTCTACCCTACATGGGACTATAAGCCTAGATTATTATTCAATAATACTGTCAGATTCGGACTTTGCCTCACAACGTCGGTGTCAACGGCGCGATTTACTCGATTTACTTTAAAGTAGTCAGAATGGGTTAGTTCTACCATTCATCACGTTCCTCTCACTTAAATTGGCCGTGATGCAATTTACCGTTAGAGTCACGCTTGATAGATAAGGTCCCTCCTAGTTGATCTAATGACCACACACCGGTGGCAACGGCACTGCCGCATCGAGACATCTCTTTGTGTCACATTATTATTTCTATGCTCTGCAATATCAAAGGTTTAAGTTAATTCTGTATAAATTTTCGAAGCTGTTTCGAAACAAAGTAAAAGAAGACATTTTATTATAGGGTGCATGGCATCGCTAAGTCCCTGAAAATTCATTATCCAGGTGCTGCTAGAACAGTTTTACAAAATAATGTATCAAACAAACATTAACTTCCACTCAGAATGGTGTACAGTTAACACTAACCTTTCTTAAGGATGCTTTAAAAACACGGAACGAACATTATATGTTAGCATGATTGTTTGTAGATCGTATTGCGTGAATTTCAGTTTCTACGGAATCCATGACGAGAGTGCGTGTAATATATGTACTGCATATCATATTTTGAGGTACTCAAGTAGTCTTATGTCTTCGTGTCACAGAAAAGTGTGACCTTGCAGAAGACAATTAGTAACGACTAAGTGGATCAGTGGAAGAATACAAAGTGAAGTTGTTATTATTCATCAGTATAGGGGTTGTGGAGATCACTAAGTTTTTGAATGAGATCATGAACCGATTGATATTAGACGGCCGTTCAAAACCTGGAAGCACTGGAAGGCCGTTTCGTCCTATTGTGGGACTCCTTTTTAAGTCGAGTCAATACATGTAAACTCTGAAAACCCGTGGTATATTTCTATTTTCTCCCTGAGACTGAAGAAAATCAAGGATACTTTCTTATTTGCTTAGAGCACTTTTGTGTTTGGTTGGATGCATTGATATATTTCATGTCCACACTAAATTAATTGGAATGTAAGAATAAAAATCTGCATACAACTGTAATCGTGTCTTGGCGAAATCTTCCTTGGTAACCATTTTGTGGAACTTTCAAGAAACTAGATGTTGAATGCTAGGCGTTGCTATATAACCCGACATAAACGATCTTGAATATATAGACGACAACTGTCGCCTGTAACCACAGAAATATCTCCTTCTGTGGAAGGATGGTTGTGCGGGGTTTTAATTCAGGTGGCTTTTAGCTCACCATTTACTGCATGGACTCAAAATGGAGATTGGCAGTGGGAATATTCAGATTTGATAGATAAATTCATTTGAAATGAGACATACGTAGATGGCTGATATCGTCGTCTTTGTCTACGATGTGGCGGTGAGTTAAAGGATGCATCCACCTCTTAATAATACTAATCACTATCATCGTCTATATCCTAAAGAAAAACATCTGACTCATATGTACTGCGTTTAAGTCCATAACTACAAACATATCCGACAGAAGAATGCTTTACGGTTAGGTCGTTTTTGTTCCTTTTGCATACTGACATGATATACTTAGTGTGCGTATACTAGAGAATGAATTATCAGCCACATAAGTCCTATCGCCTTATGTACTTCTTTAAAACAAGTCTCCAAAATTTCCGAAAGTGTAATTGTCTCTGTAGCATAATATAATTGAAGATTAGTCCTTTATCATGCATCATTACGATGGAACCACTTTCTCGATTTGAAGAATGGAGTCTACCAGTAATAGTGCAGCTAAACTTAAATCAAACCTAAAATTGTCTTGATTTGACTACTTCTGCAAACCCGACGAGTTGTCGAGTGACTCATTATTCGGCTTATTACAGTTTGACTTTCATGTGCCCAGGACGATGATACTTGATCGTCGTCCTCACCGGCGCTATTTACAAACGTTTGACTGTCGCGCCTCTTGGTCTTTTACTTTGTACGTTTAAAGGAATCGTTTTAATTTCCGTATGGTTTGTACAGTTTCAGTGGTTTTATCTAAGAAATTGTCCAGTGATTAGTTCGCTGCCAATGAGGCGGGTAGGTTTACTTAAAACTGAAGCTTAACTCAATACCTAGCGCTAAAGTTTTGCTTCATAACATGTTATTTAGTGATGAACATAACTCAGAACACTAGCCTGACTCCTAATATGTGAACTTGGCCTTCTTCCTTTGCTACAAATGATAATTTGGCATGTAAGGGTTAATTATTCAAACCAAAGGTATAATATAATATTTCACTGTTATTTTATTGCTTTTAATTGTTAGTTGTATGGCAATTGGACAGGGATTTTTAGTCGGATGATGAGTAGCCTAAGTTCGTGAGTATAGTATACTTACTGTATATTATGTCTGTTTTAGAAAGTCATCGAATCCCAAACATCACATGAGTCGACTACATGATCTGAATTGTCACTAAATGATGAATACTGGTGGAGATATGCACGACAGTCCACACGAAATACGTATTTTAACACTTGTTTGTTCGAAGTACACACAACTAAGACATTTGATATATTTTAGGCATCATACGTCGAAAAGCTGCCCAATCGGCGAGACTATAATTTATGGACGAACCAATCAGATATAAGATAACGAGTCACAAATCTGGACGCAAAATTCATCCATATATCTGGCTAAGTAGAGTTTTGGCATTATAGCTGATGTTAGTTCGTAATGAAAACCCTAAATCTAATTTTTAACCCTTACCATCGACTGTAAATAAGAATTCTAACTGTTTTATAACCCTCATTCAGTCCTACTTAGTAGTTTTTCACTCTCGAGGTCACTTTAGCGTCGCTCAAAAGTTATCCATAAATTAAAGTCTCACTCTTCTAATGTAAATGGACTGGTTGTGCTAACCTGACAACTACCAGGTAATTACGTGGAATTTCGGTCTTGTATCTTTTTGCTTACCTTAGTTAAAAGTTTCCAGAAACGTCGAGAAGTCTGTCGTCAACCAGTTGACTACTGTCTTCCTCGTTAGGTTTGACTTCGTCTTGACACTTAACTAAGGTTCTGTTACCGGGATTAATCAAGTGGTTGTGGCTCTATCAAATCTAACACTAATAACGTTTTGGGGCCATTTAATTCTTTACTGCTCTCCTTTTTCAATGCTACTTCGGTCATTATTTTGGGATTAGTAGTGATTCTTAGTAGATGTATAATCTTCCTACTAACAACCTTGAACCTAGCGTCCGAAATTTTCTGGTCTAAAATGTCCTTTATAGCCTTTACTGTACCAACTGCTGTGCTTCATTGTAGCTTATAACAGGCTGAGCAACTTTGTTAAGCATGTATAGAAAAGAATATTTAATAGATCGTAGGGTTCCATTCTTTAGACAAAAAATATATTAATTCAAATGTAACTCGCGGGTTTTTTTAATCAGTTCACCCTAGTCCATTTATCTGTTAAACCAGTTCAGCTAAAAACTCCGGTTATATGCTTTGATGTTGTGGAGAACTTCGAATGATAAAGGAGCGAGACTCTGATTTAGCGACGACCTTTGAACGAATCTTAAATGATCTTGACAATTATTAGCCAATCAGAAGACAGAATAAAGTGAAAATATATTGTAAGTAATGAATTACAGTGGATATTCTTCTTTTACATGATTTAAAAACTTGTTAAGGTTTGATAAAGGTTCAGAGGTTCTGAATCCATAATGCATATGGTATAGAAACTCGTCCATAGGATTAGGGTTTAGGTTAGGGTTGGGGTTGTAGCCTCCCAATAACCATCTCTTTTCTAAAATCCGATGTAAACCGATCGCATGTTAGCACTCTAACCCTAACCTAACCCTATGGTCGAGTTTCTATACCATATGCATTATGAATTCAGAACTTCCGAGCCTTTATCAAACCTTAACAAGTTTTTAAATCATGTAAAAGAAGAATATCCACTGTAATTCATTACTTTCTTGTAATATGTTTTTACTTTATACTGTCTTCTGATTGGCTAACAATTGAAATTGCTCAAACGCCTCTGATTGGCTCGTCCCTAAATTAGAGTCTCGCCGTCCCATCTGTTGTAACCTCTCATTAATCACCTCCTCTCTAAAATCCCCTGTGAACCGACCGTATGTTAGCATCGCGTGTTGAACTTGGCTCCGTTACCTTGAAGTTGCCCAAACGCTTCTGATTGGCTCGTCGCTAAATTAAAGTCTCGCCGATAAAGGTCATGAATGAAGAAAAGCAGTAATATTAAAAACTTTGTAGTTAGTTAGTCTGTCTGATCCTTATAGTAAATCCTGTAGAGTGCTTCATTTTGGTTTTCATTGGCTTCTATTCTGAGTTGTGCCGAACTCTGATGTATGACCTCCAAGTCTCAGTCCTGTATATTTATGAAGTCACTAACTTCTAGCCTGAGCCATGTTGGTAGACTACTTGGTTGGGGTCCCCATGACTATCGTAACCAATGGTTGGAGACTGACATGGCTCCGAATCAATCACAATGGCTTAGATGTGTACACTCTATGTCTTCCCTTAAACTATCAGGTTAAGATTGCCTTATATTTTTCCTTCTACGAACTAATTCTTTCTCCCTGTACTATGTCCTTATATGCAATCTTTCTTTTATATATTCCTACCACTGAATTAACTACTATGAATCCGGTGTTCATCTTGTCGTGTTAATGAGGTGTGGCAACTTTGACAGATGCACATATGTGCCTGGTCATACGTTGTAGCTGACTGACTGACATATATTTATGTCATAATAGTACTAAGTTAAGAAAGTTATTTACTTCCCCCAAATTGCGCGATTGGAATCATTTTCATTCAAAATAGTTGCTTTTTGTATTACGATTTTACACCGGATTTCAAGGTAAATGTATTTTAGCTAACACTTTCTGGCATCTGCTGAAGGGAAACCTAACTTTCGTAAGTGAGCTTTAATGCAACAGGATCGTCTTATTGTATTATTTGTGCTACTTATCCGCTTTATTAATGAGTTAGGTTACATTCCCTAAGTGTATGCTACTCATTTTCAGTTATTAACACTGAAAACTTATCAAACGCTTAATATTTTGCTAACTTGCACTACCAACAAGACTGTGTAGCAGCATTGTAGCATTCTATAAATATAAGACATAATATTTTCTTAATTGAAGGATGTTTTGCTAGCATCTGACCAATTAATTCATTTAAAAATAGGGTTTTTTTATCAGGAAGTCGCGACTTGTATCCACTATCGACTTTCACTTTTCATGTAATTATTAAGATTTTGTGCATGCATTTTACTACTGTTTCTTTTAGTTTTAGACTGTCTAGTGTTCTTCACTAGTCCCTGAAACTTCTACTGTTGTCAGCCGAATCGAAAAACATCTGTTGGATTGTGTCAGAGGTCCCATCTGCATATTACACAAATAAATGTTAAATGGATAAACTTTCAGATTCAGTAAGTGTTTTATTAACAGCCGCTACCATATAAAAAATCCTGACTTAGAAATTCTAAGTCTTATTAGTCAGTCAGTTAATATCGAAGTATGACCTGGCACAACTATCCAACAATCAAATTCACCAAACATTTCATAACAACATAAATAAATCAACGGGGCCAGAAATAGAATGAAAAGTAAAGATGAAAGCAATAGAAATCTAAATGTGAGAAATAAGGATCGAAAGGAACATGTGGTTAAAGGATGGGACTTTAGGATCAATACTTGACTAAAGGTTTGAAGAAAAGCATAGAATAAATACGTCTGAGACTGATTTTGTAATGTGTTATCCAACGTTGTCAGTCATTAATTACGAGTATTGGGTAGGGTCTAGCGTGGTAGCTTCCACAAATTAACTTGACCCAATCTAACAGTTTATGATCTTATAGACTAATTCGAACTATTGATTTGGCCGCTCTAGCTTCCTTTGACTCCCTCCTACCCCATTCAACATTCCATATATATGTAGGAAATGGTCAGAGATGCGTAACACATGTCCCAGCTTCATTAGTCGGTGAGGATTCATACTTTTATCAATTGATTTATCATCGTTGTTTGATATCTCAGTTCTAACTTCACTACTGGTCACTCAGTCGTCGTACGATACGCCAGCAATGCTTCAAAGATACCTCTTACCTAATGTTTGTAGCCTACGCCTGTCTTCTGCTTTCATGGACTGTGTTTTACAGTGATAAACTAATACGAAGAGAACCGCTACACATTGTACTCTCCCTTCGGACGATAGAAAAACACTTCTCTTACTCTACAATAGAATTAATTTAGAAAAAAGATTATCGAACTTTCTGAATCCGTGCCGAGATTTCGTTAAATACCAACCCTCCATAATGAGACTTCCAAGATGAGTGAAGTAGTCGGTGCATTTTTCCTATCACTAATTCAGACGTTGACCTATAATAGTCCCGAAGCAATATCTATCATTTAGAGAGAAAGAAACACTTCCCAACTATGCTTTCCGTGATACTAAAGGTTATTCAAAAGCTCTGAATTTCTTCGGCGTCTTCACAGGACTATATCGTTTGCGCACTCCATGGGAATGAGTAAGTTCCAATAGAGGAGAGCAATCCCTCAAAAATTAGTCAGAAAGTGCGTCCGTAAAATACTCTTTGACAAAGTTATGTAAGAGTGAATTGGGGAGCGCCAACAAAAACTATTTGGTGATGATAAGTCATAGTAAGATCTATATATCAGTGAACTAAAATTCGGGCGCTAGTATTACTCGTTAATGTCCAACAAGTTTTTAGTACTTAGGTTGGTCCAAATCCAGGACTTATCATCAGGTCATGCAGCCAATGACTGTTTGTTTAAACCGTGTTATTGGATGCAGATTACCTAAATGGGATCTGCGCGACCAGTAGTCAGAGACGTTGATTAACATGTTTCAGAATCAGTCACAATAGCGCAAATGCACCCACTTTTTATCATCTTGTAGATTTAGGGTTACGGTATCCCTTCATACATATAGTTTCATTCTATCTCCAATCATATTCTCAATGTTTAGTTTAAAATTATCATCAGTACCACAACTGTTTCAATTCCTTTGTCATTTATCTTTTTTATTTCATCTCGTGGTAATAGGGTGTGGCAAATTAGACTAGCACTTTTTTGTGTCAGGTTCTACTTTGGTTATGACTGACCTAGGTAATCTCGCTTCAATCAGCCAGCCATAAGTTGGAACCCTGCCCTGCTTACTTCAATTTGGGCAACCTCAAACTTGCAGTGTAACTGAAAGCCAGGTACATGATGTTTCTGTCCAGCATTTTAGCAATTAAATACACTATTTAATATAATTTATCTATACGTGACACTGTTGTTATTTGTGTTCGTATTTCTTGCTTAGTTTTCATTCCAAATATTCAGTTGATGTAGGGATTTGGAAAGTATCATGTTCATTTCTATTTCAAGTTTGTAGTGGTACAAAGCTATTGTTATATGAAATTGAATGTCAAAATAGCTTGTTAATTGAGCTGTACAATCGGATTGGTAAAAGTGGATTTCAGAACAATAATTATTGAAAGTTTTGCTATTCATAGTAGGGTCAACTATTGATAGTATTTTACTTCCAAACTTGTCTGGATTCATTTTATGAATGCCTCCAGATCAGACGAAAACTTTCATTCTTTCTATTTAGAAGATGCAAATATCTCCAGTCGTTATTTGCCGTAGTATTGTTATGATTCAGTCCGAAAGTGATCTAGGAAACTGAATACATTAGATTTTCGTAATCCCCCGATTATTGGAAATTCACGGTTATTATGCACTAGCTTATGTTGCTTTTGACTTAGTCTCGTAGTTCTAATTTTTCTCCTAATCTGTATTTTATTAAGCTTCACTGATTCAAATTTACATACCTGTGCGTTTGTTTCCCGTTTATTCATTGTTTCTGCGGGTCATAATTGCATCACCTTTGCTATTTTAATTTATATACATGACATATCTTGCTTTACACCAGATTATCAATATCCCCAATAATTTATTATTATCCATAAACTCTAAACTCAGCATTTAAAAACGCGTTATATCTATAGAGTGAAAACTGTATTTCAGTTCTATAAACAACATTACTTGATCCTTACTGTTTTCACGTCAAGTTATCCTAACTTTCACATTTAAAGAACCATTTATGTGGATTTTAAAAAGAATGCCAATTTTCATCGTATCTCATGTAATTGAGTTCCAATGTACAAATAATCGCTACTTGAAATGTGTGTTAAGTATGTTCCAACATAAAAGCACTCTCACAGGTTTGGTGATGGCATATTTTTGTTGTGGAATTCAGAAAACATAGCCCTCAAAACTTTTTTCCTGTATCACCGCTTTTTACCTCTTAGAAAAGCATTTAAGTGTTTCTCGTTGGTCTGTTCATAATATTGTTTTGTTCGTATCATCTTTTGATGGTAGACCGGGTCCGCACATTTAAAGTAGATCTCCGAAAAACCTTTACTATAGTATCCTCCAATCTTATTCGTTTACATACGTTCCCGATTCTCTTCCCTTTTTGTTTATTTCAATAAGATGTTATTCAATGTTCTGATTGCTACTGTTAAGTGTAAATTGTAGAGTAGCACGTGATTACTGTTATGAATTTCATCCTCGGCAACTGGCACACTTGTTTTTGTGAGTGCTCGTTCAATCATCGTTTCCTGTGTATTAGAGATGCATTTAAAGTATATAAATAACTTTTGCTGGAATTCCAAATGACATACTACATGGACGGACTTACATCATTAAAAATAATAAATTAACAAATCCTAAATTGCTTATGCCACTTTATTGACATCACAAAGCTGAGTAGTTACTAGAAACTTAAGTGTTTACTACAGTAGGTAGATTACTTACGACAAGTTATTGAATAGTGCGAACCTACACTATCAGCAAAGAATAATCAAGTTGTTATGACCATGATGTCTGGCCTTTCTACCACGCGAATTATCCACCAATCAGAATACGACTTATACAAATCTTCACTCTATACCAACCAATGACGTTCAACCGGTGTGGGCAGTCTAGCGCCTTGTTGGTCCGAGGTCCTTTTAGCCCGTCTGCTTGAGTCCAAATAAAACCCAATACCAGCTTCTGCAATATGATGTATTTTAAACATACTCTCTATATACCAATCAGCCAGACCACAACGTACCATAAAATAGAAAATAGCATGTGTACACAAATAAGCCAACAAGTGGCTGTGAACGCGGGAGATAGTAATTAGTAGACTGAACATAGATTAAAAACCGTAAATCGTATAATAATAAATTACAGGTCAAGATAAAGCTTATAATAAGGGAAATATAAATATATATAATGTAATTATTGAATAATTATACAATAAGAATATTTATAGAATATTAGTCTATTAACAGTCCTTGAAAGTTACCTGTAGCTTATTCTTCACTGGGTTATAACACAAGTGGCACATGATATTATGTTACTTCTGATCTCCAAATAAAAAATTACAGTTACCTTTACTGAGTTTACTTCGTATTTGATCTGCCATTGTTTTAAAACTACACATGCAAAGTACGTTAGTACTTCCAAGCAAAAAACATTTTAGTTTGGTCATTTATAACTGAACTTAATCGCCCATGTTAACCAATTTCTTCCTTAAAGTTCCCTTTTTTTAAGATATATTTCTTTTATAGCTTCAGCGTGATATCAACAAATTACAAACCGATTACCACAAAGCCATTGAAAAAGAACTAGGTAACCTGGATATTGCTTATCTCCGCAAAATACAGGTTAGCAATAAGTTACTTACCAATAACATACAGGCAAATTACTTTCAATGTGGTTTAAAGTGCTGTGAAGATCCTGACGCCTCTATTACTGAAGTGCAGCATTGCGTAGAAAGGTGCGAAGTTCCTTTAAGTAAAGCACATGAAATAATGCAATCCGAGGTCTCCTCGTTCCAGGTAAGAAGTTTTGACTTTGCAAATGCCTGCACCGGTTTGATTTATTACGTCTTTTAAAATATCTACCGGTAAGGTGTTTAGAAGTCAGTTTGTCAATGCACTTCGTACGCCGAGATGAATACCTATAAGGGATTTTAGTGTAAACAAGTGGGAATGGTTTTCAAACATTTATGGGGTGTATAAGGCTAAAGAATGGTTATAAAACTAGTAAACAAACAATGCGTTGCAATATAAAAAGACTGGTTAATCAAAATGAATCCTCTCTGATCATTCAGACTTACCAACTGATTAGTTTCTAATAATTTTTTTGATTATAAATCAAACTAAACAGCTTTAAGTGATGAATCCATTGATTTATTATTAAACTAGCCTGAAAAATGAGGTTCTGCCTAATATTATGTGGTTCGAAAAAACTCACATAAATAGTAAAGTCATTGAAGACAATGTCTTAGTTACTTTCGATTCGCGTAAACACACACGGTCCTTGGGCACTTTTATATGGATTAGCAAAAGTTAATCACAGTTTCTGAATATGTTTGGTTCTCTGTACAACCAAATCATCCAACGACATTGCAGAATATTTGAATTGGTTGAGGTATTAGCTTAGAATAATAATAATAATAATAATAATAATAATAATAATAATAATAATAATAATAATAATAATAACACTTTCTTACGAGTATAAAAAATACCGGTAATTCCGTTTCCACTCGAATTTTGCTATCCGTTCACAAAAATTTATCTGTTATACTCACGACATAGACATGATTATTAAACATTTGCCTCAAAGTAGTCTCGCCGTAATCCATCATAAATGTCCAGTTCAGATTTGAAAATAAGTCACATAAAATTGAGTATCGATTTGTAATGGTCCAGTTTTTGCGGATTTATCAACTCTTTGTCTCTTTTGCTAAATTTAGAAGTTACATTTCCTCAGAATTATATTCTCTATCGGTACAGGATATTTTGAACCATTCGATCACATAATAACCTGTAAAGATGTTTGTATGGGAATTAAAAATTAAACTAGAGCATCAGAAAAACAATATGAACCACACAAGACTAAACCGATGCTACGAGTATAGGTTTAGCGTAAGTACATATTGTTCTCGACGACAGGGGGATTTTCATCTTTTTATTACTAAGGTTTCAGCAAACCTAAGTGTTTTCCACAGACGACTCTGAGTTTTGATTAATCTATATAATCAGATTGTTTTAAACGCATTGCGCTTATTTATTACATCTTAATGACAAACTTAATCTTCTCGCTGGATTATCTAGACGTGTGAACATTCAAGCTCTAAAATTCAGTATTTAAATAGTTCATGTAAACTTTCAATTTATACAAGATCAAACAAATAGTGCCTATGAGCCGTCTGTTTAAGAAAAGAGTTTAGAAGCACATAATTTTCACGTGTATCTTTGCAAACCTCAATAAGCTTCAAACGTTTCTGTGTGGTTGAGAGATAAGATTGTTCATCTTGCATCTATCTTTTCCCGTGCAACAACGTACATTAATTGAAGTCAGTACACTTTCAGCAAATATAAAACCCACCTTAGTTTTCAAAAATGGGAGCAAAGAAGTTAGAAGTTTTATTATTAGTTGCAAGTGAGTTTAACTATCAAACTAACTCGTATATCGACGTTAGTTTTTTAAATTTCCTCTAGCTGCAACAGCTTAGAGCGTTAAAAGCTTTGGTTATCCATGAAAGGAAGCTTGACTTCAGTATGCAAAAGAAATATACATGTATCTTCATGGTAGATCCTATCTTTTATAATGTCTTTTTTGTTTAATCAGTCTCTAAAGAAATCCTTTAATGCGTCTTTTCCCAAATATCTCTTATACATCCTTAGTTTTGGTAGACTCAAAAACGATATAAGTGGTTGCTTTTAATGCTTTTAGGTCCACATAATGTATTAAAATATTTGGTAAATAGGCTTGATTAGATTTATTTAGTAATTTGAAGCAGGTAATATGATTCACATATTAACAAGTTTTTATTGCTTAGGCAAGATTACAACTGTGTGCTTCTGAGTGCGCCAATCAAGCGCGGGACAAATTACCTTCAAATGCAACTGAGTCACAGCTGAAGAATGCTCAACGTGAAATACTAGCATGTTCTCAAAAATGCGTGGACACTCAACTATCAATGGGGCTTCCAGCCCTTATTACTCGATTAAAAGATCAATTGCAAAAGTTGAAGCAAAATCAAATTCATATCGCAAATTAGTTTGTGTAATATAAGTAATAAAACTAAAACATTTTTAGCAAATGAATTGTATAGACCAGTTTCTTCATTTTTAATGTCACATACAAGGTTGGTCAGTCAGTCAGTAACAACGTAGAACTTCGTACGTACGTACATCAGTTCAAGTTGCTATACCACATTAGCACAGAGATGCAGTTATCGATTCAAATCCCGTAGTGGTAGAGGTAGTAAGATTATAAGCGGTAATCGGGAAGATTAGTGTTTGAAGATGTTATTTAAAGAGTATAATACAGTGAAATAAGTTTGGGAAGAAAAAAAGAGACAAGAAGGAATAAGGAGATCAAAATTTGGGAGAACACAAAGAGTGGATGCACCTGCGCCATTGCAAACGATTTTGAGCCATGTCATTCAGGGTCTCTAACCATCGGTTGCTATCATCTCGCGGTCCACAACCAGGTAGTCTACACCTACCGACATGACTCAGTCCACTTGTCAGTGACTTCATGGACTTGTGCCATGTTTTGGTCTGGCCGCCCCTAGCTTTCTTCCAATCTACTTTTATACCACTGAACATCGCACGTCGAGGCAGTCGGTCGTTGGGCATACGTAACACGTGTCCCAGCCATCTCAACTGATGAAGTTTCACTACGTCATCAATTGATTTGCTATCCTTACCTAATACCCGTTTCCTAACAACTGCATTACTTACTCGATGGTCGCAGGATATACGAGCAATGTTTCGAAGACACCTATGATCGAATACTAGTAACCCACAAATATCCTCTACTCTTACCGGCCACGTTTCACTGCCATAAAGTAGGACGGAACGAACTGCTGCTCAGTAAACACGTTCTTTGGTTGATAGACGGTTATCTCGCCTACGCCATAAATGACGCAAGTTGGTAAAAGCTAGTCGAGCCTTCTTTATCCGTGCTGAGGTTTCGTCACACATCAGACCACAAGAGGTGATGAGACTTCCAAGATAAGTGAAGCGGTCGACACGCTCAATAACTTCACTCCCTATCACTAGTTCGGCTGTCGATGTAACGCAATCCTGAAGCAACATTTTGCATTTCGAGGGGGAGAATCGCATACCGAACATACTTGCATCGTTGCTTAGAATGGTCAGAAGACTCTGCATTTTGTCAGCGTCTTCACCAAATAGAACTATGTCATCGGCATATTCTAAGTCAACATGTGAATCTCCTGGTAAAAGTTCAACCCCCGGAAATTTAGATGAGGAAAATGTTATCTCTAAAAGCACTTCAACGACAAAGTTAAACAAGAATGGAGAGAGTGGATAGCCCTGATGAACACCATATGAAGTAATCAATTCTGATGACGGTTCGCCATAAGCTCTCACTCTACCAGTTGTGTTCTAGTAGAGAGCCTTTACAAGATTAATGTATTTCTTTGGTACTCCTTTCAATGACAAACAATGCCATAGAACCTCACGATCAACAGAGTCGAAGGCTGCCTTAAGATTGAGAAATACTAAGATTGTGGGGCGTCTGAACGTGTGTGTGTTCTAGAACCTGACGTAGTGTAAAGATCTTGCCACGACACTATAAGATCCACCCAGGTGTCTTTCCCTATAGCTTAGTTTACCTACTTGAGCATTAAAGTCACCGGCTATTAATACTACATCCGAGCGCCTAGCTTTTCGGAGATGGTCGGAGAGCTCTCTGTAAAACTCATCTTTTACATAATCTGAGCTGCAGTCAGTGGGAGAATAGGCAGAGACGACGATTGTCCCTATCTCTTCGGATCCTTACTGTTCCGTTCAGTTGGACAGCCCACAAACGACTGTCTACTGGGATCCACTCTAAGAGAGCTAGTTTTGCCATAGGATTCAATGCTATACCTACACCAGTGAGGTCACGAGAAGCACCATCAGGGCTTCCAGATCCACGAAGTGTGAATCGAGTCGGTTCATTATTTTGGCATGGTGGGTCAAGTGAATGACGCTACTCGGATCCCGTATGCGCGTTTCGGAGACGCAGCACACATCGATGGCGCGAGATTCTAAAGTCCTAGCTAAGGAAGCCTGATGTCCTATTTGGCAGTGTTCGTACGTTAAAAGCTCCTACATGTAGTTTAAATCGTGGTTTCAGGAGACCAGGAATAACGTTCCGCGTACTCGAATCGTTTGCCCTAGCGGTGCGAGGCGATAAAAGGACGTGAGAAGGGTTAGTCGGGGAGATAATAGTGGTAGTAAGAGGTGTAGGAAGGATTAGAATGTGACCAACTTGGGTTCGTGTGCTGTTACGGGTATGAGGGCTTGTGTCACTTCCCAGTCACCCACACCGTGGAAGGTTATTTCTTGAGGGACATGAAAAGGAATTCGTATTAATCTCGGCCTGGAAGCGTGACCGCAGAGCCCAGGGGACAACTGTTTGAGGCCGGTCACTCACGGTATTTTTGTGATAGATTATTGACGTGTTAGCTCCGTTCTCCAAAGGGCCTTACCGCCGGAGACGGTAATCCGTGAGGTGTGACATTTTTAGGGTCGACCTTTTCTAACCCCACCCTTACTTGTGAGAGGGCAGCATCGCTGCAGATGCTGGTTGTCCGAGGGAAACCTTACTGCTGTCACACCCTTCTAGAGTCACCAGTACGACTTCGCCCTCAGACCTTGAGTTGCTGCTTGCAGTCTTGCCGTTCTCCAATCGACCTGCCTGACATGGTAGAACCTACAGCAACATATGTTCCAGCAAATATAGCTCGGTTGGGTCATCACGATAAGCAAGCCCGATCACCGCGTCAATGTAGCAGCTACGATTGGGTGGGTGGTACTCGTGGATCTTTTGTGGAAAAAGCTTTTTGACTTGTTTTACTACTTCCACCTGAGTTTGTAGCAACTAAGTTTGGACGCAAATCTATAAATACTATGATATTTTGCAAACCTATGTGTGCTAAGGTTCAATGAGCAATATTCATTCATGTATCTCAAACATGGGTCAGACATTTCCGAATTATAGTTCATCCAAAAAATATTAATCAACCCTTAGGATGTACTCATGAATGTAAGCGGATTTTACACAATCAAATTCTTTTATATCCAGGGGTTAAATTTGTATACCAAAACATCAGTTATCCGCCTTATGCTCTAAAACTGAGGTGAAAATATATTGAGGAGACTTAAACTGAATTCACAAAATTCTACGATTGATGAATAATTTGTTTCACTTCACTCATGTCCAGACGTGAAAACCCATATCTTATTTATATGGGTAATTATCTCATTATCTAAATTTATTCATTAGTAGAAGGGGAACGGAAAGGTACAATCAGTAGAAATCTTTCAGTAAGGGGAGAAAAACAACCACTTTTTTTTTATGAAGAAAGCAAAAGACGGTTTCAGCAGGATCGCCATTGGCTTCTATTCTGAGCCATGTCTGATAACGTATCCAGCCATTGTGTTGCATCATCTCTAGGACCCCAAACAGAGAGTCGTGAAGGACCAACACAGGTCAGCCGTTTGCAGCTTTCACCACACGACACCATATCATGCACTGACCACCTATCCGCATTCCAACCAGTCCCAGCGTCGGCAAATAATGCACGACATGGAATTCTCTGGGACGACATTCGTAGAACATGTCCAAGCCACCGAAGTCGGTGTTTCAAGATGGTCACACCGATTGCATTGTCATCTCTGTGCCCGAACACACGATGCCGAACATCTGCATTACTGACATGGTGTTGCCACTGCATGTCAGCAATCCTTCGGAGACAGCAATGATCGAACACAGAGAGTCGTCTAACATCCTCAACTCGGAGAGACCAGGCTTCACAAGTGTAGAGCAAAACTGCTCTCACCGACGCGTTGCAGATCCGACCTTTTACAGCCAGATTAACATCACGAAGTTGCCAAAGATGGCCCAGATTGGCATAAGCCGCTCTGGCTTTCACTATACGTGCATTGATCTCATCACCCATGCCAACTAGCCGGAGACTTGAATGCTCAGGTCGGGCGTCTAGGCACAGAAGAGAGTCGTTTAGGTGGCCGATGGGGACTCGTTGGTCGCAGGTCAGATAACGGGGACCGTCTACTGCAACTTTGCACAGACCACAACCTGTTTCTGGCTAGCACTAACTTTCGGCACAGTCATCGCCGATGTGCCACCTGGCGTCCTCCCTCTGCATCCCAAGCCTGGACTCAGATTGATCACATCGCGATCAGCTTCCGCTGGCGTGGTTGTGTAAAAGACTGCCGCTCCTTTTGGAGTACCTATCTGGACTCTGACCATGCCTTGGTCTGCGCCAATCTTGCCTTACTTTTCAGTGGACAACGAAGTGACCGCCATCAAAGGATTGATATTAGCAAGCTGGTTGCAACTTCTGTTGCAAATAAGTATCGATCCGAGCTAGCCTCTAGGCTAGCTACCACTCCACCGAAAAGTATAGATGAGCATTGGTTGCAATTGCATGACGCTATGAAAATGGCGGGTACAGTCAGTTGTGGGTTTGCGAAACGTCCCGCTTTTAAGCACTGGGTTTCTTCTGGTTCCTTACAACTTATTGAAGCCTGTCGGTCTACTCTGGGTGACCGTGAGTTTGACCACAAACGAAGGATGTTACGTAAGGAAATTGGGCAAAGCTTGCGTAAGGACCGAGAAGCCTGGTGGTCGAAGCGTGCTAATGAGCTGGAAGCAGCAGCTGCATCTGGTAACTACCGGAAGCTCTTCCAGCTCATTCGAGCCACTGGCAGCAAGAAGTCTGGTGTGAGCGAAATAATCTGCGAAGATGATGAGATGCTAATCACTAACATCCATCGAGGTCTTGGACGATGGGCAGAATTTTTCGAAGGGTAGTTCAACTGGCCTGCTGCTCCGGCAACACCGGTCAGACTGTCCTACCCTCCATGGCCGGTGACGACTGATCCACCAAACGAGGAGGAAGTCCGCAAGGAACTCCAACTCTTGAAGCGTTACAAATCACCTGGCCCAGATGACTTACCTCCGGCTCTTTTAAAAAATGTTAGTGACCTTCTGACTTAGGAATTGACGACGTTGTTTACAAAGGTTTGGGAACTAGAGAGTGTACCAACGTCATGGAATGAGTCGATAGTTGTT